AGAGTCCCGGTCCCGTTAGGACAGCGGGACTAGGTACCGCAGGGCCCTAGGTCTTCATCCCCGTCTTCATTCTTCGCTGGTTACACACTGCCCTCACGCCTGTGTGCATCCCCTTTTATAGCCCCTGCTCACGAGAGGCGGAGCTGATGCGTACTTCAGCGTGAGCATCGCTCCTTAATGAACCAATCACGACGCACTCTCTCTACGATCCGTTTTCCCCAGCGCGTGTTAACACTCCTCCACCAATCACACCGCGCTGCCACCCGATCACTCCCTCTCAGCACGTCACCGGTCCACAGCCAATCAGTACCCCGTAACCCACGACCCCGCGATGACCCCTGATCCTCCACCGTCAGCGCACGTCACCACCTACACAGCCAATCATTACGCGCTGGCATACGATCTCTAATTCCAGCGCGTATCACCTCTACAAATGTACCAGGCTCTCATAGGTCCATTCACTCTTTCTCTCCCTCGGTTGCTTCGGGGTGGATTTCCACACAACTCTCTTTAAAATGTACCAGTCCTGTTGGGTATTTCAGTGACATGCTAATTTCTCTGCTACAGCAGACCCACCTCTCTCTCTGCCCCACCACCCCCCTCCCTCTCTATTTAAGGCCTAGACACAGAGGCATTGGGTCTCTGTGTGTCTATGTTGTGTCTCTCTCTGTGTGTCTCTGTGTTGTCTCTCTCTTCTAGAGTGTGTCTGTGTGTCTCCGTGTCTGTGTTTTGTCTCTTTCTCAAATTTAGTTCTACCTAATGATGGTTGCTTGTGTTGCAATCGAAACGTCGTATTCTATTATTTAATTGATTTTCTTTCTACGTGACTTTACCGAAAGAACCAAAGAGTGAATTCTGTAAGTTGTTAGAACATTATGTATGCAATCTTTTAAATGTGTATGTATTCAGAGGGTGTATAATATTGCATTATCTGATACATATGTTGCTCATACACAATGACAACATAACGCGTTCACTCTTACAAGAGCTGTTCCGAGATTGTCAGTGCATTGGCACCAATTAAGCAGGCGAGTGCTGCGAATGGCTGGGCTTTCCACGCCACTGCTGTTCCTTGTCGCAATCCTTTCCGCGGTACCCTGTACCGGGGTCCGAGGATCCGATCGTAAGGGCAGCAAGCCGGCTGCTCAATCTGTTCCTCGCCAGGTTCCCGGCAGTGTGGGCCCAGACAAGTTGCAGCGCTGCCAACTGAAGACGCGTCCAACTGAACAGGGTGGCGCAGTGGTTACACTTGTGCCTCATAGCAAGACGTCCCTGGGTTCGATTCCATACTCGGAGTTTGTATGTACTCGCCATTTTCTGCATGGTCAGAGTATGCGAGTGTGTGGAGTTTGTATGTTTTCCGGGTTTTCTGATTTCCTGCTATAGCTAAACACACACAGTGTAACCAGTATTGATCAAACCACATCCCAATGCCGAACAATTACATGCAAATGACTGAATTGGGATTACACACAGCAGCAACATCAACCTCCTACTGCGACAAACTTGCCAGGACCCTCCTGAGAAAGAGTCTTGAGCCTCAGCGAGGGTTTCCCCGGTAAACATGCGCAATGTGCTCTCCAATTCCCTACGCGGCTGTCAGATGGTCAGTCTTCAACACACACAAGTCACCGATGTCATGCGCAGCCACTTCCGAGATGCTTCTGAGCCTACTAAGTGGCTTTTAACAACGCACACAGATTGCATGCACAATGACTCTCAGCATTATCCAGACCACCATCTCCAAAAGAACTAACGTGTGGTCATTCTGTTCATTAGACCGGTGGTTCTCAACCGGCGGTACACAGAGCTCTGGGGGGTACGCGAGGTGATTTATAAACGAGTGAAATTACATCATACATTAGAGTCGTGGGTGAATAATCACGTATGAATCTGCCAATATAAAATAACAATAGAATTAAATCTACATGGTAACCTAGGACGATATAAAACACCTTCCTAAACTCATTGATCGTGAACAATACTGTTTTCAAGAGTAACCCAGCGAGCGCGAACACGTGGATTTAATTTTATTCGCTTGCAAGAGCTACTCGATAGTTAGGATACTTCAAAATGGACCATTGGTTACAATACTGATGTTCATTATCCATCACATTTATTTCTCAGAACTATTTTGGGTCAAGCAAATGGAGGGTGGCAGTGGGGGGGGATAAGGGAACTCAGTTGAAAACTAAAATTCAACAAAGTGGGTACCGTCGCCAAACAAAGCTTGAGATGCCACTGGCTTAGACAATCGACTCAAACAGCTGAGAAAACGTGGCCATCCCACCGGAGGAAAGTTAAACAACAACAGCAGCAGCAGCAGCAGCGAGCCCTCTTTCGGCCTCGGCCAAGGCGGCGTTTGCTGTCCGCCACCGCTGCCCCGTGGGGCACCGGGCTGAGCGCGAGAGGGCCCTCTCTTGCTGGAGAGATGGATGCACAATGGCTTTTGGCTGAACTTGGCCCTCCGAACTTAACCCAGCCACTCACTCAGTGGGCAGCGTTAAGATTGCAGACAGGAACTAGCTCTGGACGCATAGAGAACAGACAGGCTGGGTCAGCTCACCCGGCATTGATTTGTATTACAGTAACGCTGAAGCCAAGGCCGTAGCCATGGGGTCAACATTGGGGGGGACCAAATCTTTCAGGGTGTCTGGGGGTCCCAACCCAGAAAAATATCTAAATTTAGAAACGAATTTCCTGCCTAAAATATTTTAAAAAATCACTAACACATAGGATGGGCTTTTTATTAACTTTTTTTACAATAATGTCTAATAGTATATTGCATTACATTGCTCTGTTTTAACTTTTTTACCATTTCTTGTTTCATTGTATGTAATGGCAGAGATTAGGGGTTTATAAAGTACAACCATTACCACAATCAATCATATAAACACAAATCTATGCATTGATTTATATGAAGACAAGTCCAGATATTGTGGGCAATTTTTTAGCAAATTGTTTTAATTTACATAGCATAGCAATTATTTTATAGCAATATATTGGGGGGGGGGGCATTTTGAGTATATTTGAATATTGGGGGTGATGTGTGTCCCCCAAAATGAATTATAATTACGGGCTTGGCTGAAGCTCTGCACTCAACGAAGGCCGCGTGTCTGACGTGAAGTGTGCAACAAACCCGCGACTGTTTCAGGGGCAGGGCACGGGGCCAGGAGGGAGGAGGGGGGAGCGGCGCCTTCCACTCACCGCGTGGCGAGGGGCCCACGAAGTCCATCCCGCAGCAGCCCGCAGCAGCCCGCAGTGGATCGGCAGCAGCCCGCAGCAGCCCGCAGTGGATCGGCAGCAGCCCGCAGTGGATCGGCAGCAGCCCGCAGCAGCCCGCAGTGGATCGGCAGCAGCCCGCAGTGGATCGGCAGCAGCCCGCAGTGGATCGGCAGCAGCCCGCAGTGGATCGGCAGCACCCCGCAGTGGATCGGCAGCACCCCGCAGTGGATCGGCAGCAGCCCGCAGTGGATCGGCAGCAGCCCGCAGTGGATCGGCAGCACCCCGCAGTGGATCGGCAGCAGCCCGCAGTGGATCGGCAGCACCCCGCAGTGGATCGGCAGCACCCCGCAGTGGATCGGCAGCAGCCCGCAGCAGCCCGCAGTGGATCGGCAGCAGCCCGCAGTGGATCGGCAGCAGCCCGCAGTGGATCGGCAGCACCCCGCAGTGGATCGGCAGCACCCCGCAGTGGATCGGCAGCAGCCCGCAGTGGATCGGCAGCAGCCCGCAGTGGATCGGCAGCACCCCGCAGTGGATCGGCAGCAGCCCGCAGTGGATCGGCAGCACCCCGCAGTGGATCGGCAGCAGCCCGCAGTGGATCGGCAGCAGCCCGCAGCAGCCCGCAGTGGATCGGCAGCACCCCGCAGCAGCCCGCAGCGGATCGGCAGCGCGGCTCCCAGCCCCAGTGGCAGCCCCCGCGTGCGAATCCGGGCAGCGTGTCTCGGCGATGACGTCACTCGCCGGATGCATCGTCATCAACATCGTTACGTCATCGTCATTAACACTGTCATTGTCATCAACATCGTTACGTCATCGTCATTAACACTGTCAACGTTATCGTCATTAATATCGTCAATGTCATCAACATCGTCTACGTCATCGTCATTAACATCGTCAACGTCATCGTCATTAATATCGTCAATGTCATCAACATCGTCTACGTCATCGTCATTAACATCGTCAATGTCATCAACATCGTCTACGTCATCGTCATTAACATCGTCAACGTCATTAACATTGTCAACGTCATCGTCATTAATATCGTCAATGTCATCAACATCGTCTACGTCATCGTCATTAACATCGTCTACGTCATCGTCATTAATATCGTCAATGTCATCAACATCGTCTACGTCATCGTCATTAACATCGTCAACGTCATCGTCATTAACATCGTCAATGTCATCAACATCGTCAACGTCATCGTCATTAACATCGCCAACGTCATTAACATTTTTAACGTCATCGTCATTAACATCGTCAATGTCATCAACATCGTCTACGTCATCGTCATTAACATCGTCAACGTCATTAACATTGTCAACGTCATCGTCATTAACATCGTCAACGTCATTAACATTGTCAACGTCATCGTCATTAACATCGTCGACGTCATCGTCATTAACATCGTCTACGTCATCGTCATTAACATCGTCACGTCATTAACATTGTCAACGTCATCGTCATTAACATCGTCGACGTCATCGTCATTAACATCTGCTACGTCATCACTGCCACAGCCCGCTGTGGGGACGGCCACGTGCGTGATTGTTGTTGTGGTGGGGGACGGCCACGTGCTCACCGTGTGTGGTGGTGGTGGTTGTGCAAGTCCACGGTGCTTGTGTAACGCGAGGAGGAGCCGCGCTGCCTCGAGTGGGGGGCTCTGTGCGAGTGGGTGGCTCTGTGCGAGTGGGGGGCTCTGTGCGAGTGGGTGGCTCTGTGCGAGTGGGTGGCTCTGTGCGAGTGGGGGCTCTGTGCGAGTGGGGGGCTCTGTGCGAGTGGGGGGCGCTACGGGCTGCCAGCCCACAGCCTCCGCTGCCGCCACGCGGGGCACCGCCAGCGAGGAGGAGGAGCAGGAGGTGAAGTCGGCTGCCTCTCTCCCTCTCACGCGACTCTCTCCGCCTGCCGTCACCGCCACCCGCCTTGATCACTCCGCCGCTGGATGAAGACGCCGCTGTTTGTTTAGTTTGTCACCCCCCCCCCCACACCTCCGACGTGCACGCTGGGCGACGTGCGGTGCGAAAGAAGTTCGGCAAACAGGTACACGACGAGGCCTCCCCGCTGCCTTGCCATGTGCTCGGTGCGGGGCCTGGCGCGTCTGTTGTTATAAAGGGGCCCTAAATTAATAATAAAAAACACGTAAATATTAAAACACTGATGTTTTAAACTTGTACAGTGAAGTAAGTGTATCATTTCATTTGCTATACAGCCGGATAATACGACAAATCGCTAACCTTAAACACCCAGTCGTTCATAAAAGTTGAAGGCGGTATAGTACTATAGTAATAGAGCAAGTGCAGAATCACTGAACCGCAATTGATAGCTTGAAAGCATTAGCGTGGGGCCCTTGAAAGGGCGGGGCCCGTAGCCTTTGTAGCAGCTACAGCCGCTACACGTGTAGTAGCCGCTACACGTGTACAGTAGTTACTTTTGCTACTACGATAATCGCGCACATTGCAACGCCATTCCGTTGTTAGTCCTCGACCCTCGGTGTCCCCGTATAACGCGGCCCTGCCCAAGACCCACTCTCACTTTTCCTCACGGCTTTGGTGTTGATCAAGCACGGTTGGCAATGTACGGTGCGAAGGAAGTTTTAACGTGCAACGATTGGGGGGGTCGTTCGTTAGTTCGTCTCTCAGTCTATACACTACTACACTATACACTACACTACTATACACTACACTACTATACACTACACTACTATACACTATACACTACACTACTATACACTATACACTATACACTATACACTACTACACTATACACTACTACACTATACACTACCTACTATACACTACACTACTATACACTATACACTACACTACTATACACTACTACTATACACTACTACATTATACACTACTACACTATATACTACTACACTATACACTATACACTATACACTACTATACACTATACACTACTATACACTATACACTACTACACTATACACTACTATACACTATACACTATACACTATACACTACTACACTATACACTACTACACTATACACTACACTACTATACACTACTACACTATACACTACTACCTATACACTACTACACTATACACTACACTACTATACACTATACACTACTATACACTATACACTACACTACTATACACTACACTACTATACACTACTACATTATATACTACTACACTATACACTACTATACACTATACACTACTATACACTATACACTACTATACACTATACACTACTATACACTATACACTACTATACACTATACACTACTATACACTATACACTACTACACTATACACTACACTACTATACACTACTACACTACTATACACTACACTATACACTCCTATACACTACACTACTATACACTACACTATCACTACTATACACTCCACTATACACTACTATACACTACACTACTATACACTATACACTATACTAGTTCGTCTCTCAGGCCGCTTGTCCCGGTGAGGGTCCGCGGCGGCAGCGTGTTGAGTAGTGGCGGTCCACACCTCCCTCTCCCTGGCCCACACTCCAGCAACACTTCATTATACACTACTACACTACACTAACACTACTACCTATACACTACTACACTATACACTACTACACTATACACTACACTACTATACACTACACTACTATACACTACACTACTATACACTACACTACTAATCACTACTATACACTACACTACTAATCACTACTATACACTATATACACCACTATACACTACACTACACACTACTCAACTACACCACTATACACTACTATACACCACTATACACTTACACTACACTATACACTACTATACACTACACTATATACACTACACTACTATACACTACACTACTATACACCACTATACACTACACTATACACTACACTACTAATCACTACTATACACTACACTACTATACACCACTATACACTACACTACTATACACCACTATACACTACACTATACACTACACTACTATACACTACTACACTATACACTACTACACTATACACTATTACACTACTACACTATACACTACTATACACTACACTATACACTACTACACTACATTATACTATGATAATTGTTTTTTTACCCTTTTATCTGACACCTTTTTTTACAAGGAGTCTGTTTACATAGACCACAATACCTGCAGTCATAATGCAAACAAAAAACATAACTCTGATAATGTGCACTTCCTTGAAGTTGATTGGTCCACACCCGAGACAGCTTTCCTTAGAGCCTAGTCCTCACATGGGTTGGACCAGATGACGCCAAAAGGCCTTTTGGCATGACTCCTTGTAAAAAAAAGGTGTCAGTTTTGTTGCCAGATAGAAGGGTAAAAAAACAATTATCATATTTTACTGGCAAATGAGGTTCCAATGGTGTATACACTATACTACTATACACTACTATACACTACTATACACTACACTACTATACACAGACTCTAGCTCTTCCTGGGGAATTCCCAGGCGTTCCCAGGCCAGCAGAGCGACATGGCCCCGCCAGCATGGGCCGGCGAAAACTTGGGCATGGCCCTCTGAAAAAAAGAGTAAAACTAAACTATTGTTAATTTTAACAGTTAAGGCCCACTGAGCTATACTGCTCTTTTTCAGAAGCGGCCTGGCCACAAATGATAGCTCAACAAATTGGCTTATGTGAAAATCTATAGCAGCCAAATACTCTACACGCATTTTGATTCTACATGTGGAGGGAAAAACCGGACGACCCAGAGAAAAATCCACACCACTACGGGGAGTTAGACACGCAAACTCCAAATATACAGCAGGCGTCAGGGTCGGGATCAAACCCACGATCTCCTGTATACCAGGCGAGGTAGTTAACATCTCGCCACATCTCAGCGAGGCTTTCCTGGGTAAACAAGCGTCATAGTAGCAATGCAGTAAAGTAATGGGAAAGGCCGTGGTAGGCAAATCCACGGTTGTAAATGTTGTGTATTTTCTCCCCAACACACCGGTGTGCTGCACTAGTAACGAATTGCCACGTTCTGTTTACGTGACAAACCTTACTAATTGGCCGTGTGGGGTGGTGGCGGGTTTAACGACACATGTATATTTACGCGAACCAACCCAAAAAAAACCTATATTATGGATTAAATTAACATTACTTACCTTTAATATATATGGTCGAAGTCCATGATTAGAACGATGATGACGATGAGATGATGGGGGAAGGGGTGGTGAGAAGGAGGAGGGGCTCAGCCCACCCTCCGCTCTTTCTCCGGGTCATCAATGGCAGGTGAGGTGGGGCAGGTGAGGAGGCAGGAACAGTGGCGCTGCTGGCTGGATCGGTGGTGCTGGTTCTTTATAAAAAGTGAGGGTGGTTGCGATGCGGCACAGTCTACGTGATGAGCTACGCAGTGGCGCGGAGGAGAACCGCGGCCCCGCCAAATTTGTAACTGCGTGTTGAGGATCCGTGCTTACCCGTGGATACTCAAAATTTTCAGGCTGCGTTTGGTAAATTGGTTCATAGATAATAAACCGTGTGTACATGAATTCCGCAGTTGTCAAGTCCGTGGTTGGCAAGGGATTGCTGTTCTTTAGGAATGAAGTTTTGTGGTCAACGTGTGTCGGCGCTGCCGTTTTGCTGCCCTGCAGATGGCGCCGGGGCCCAGAGTGGATCGGGAGCGGGAGTCTGGAGGCACACGGAGTGGGGGCAGGAGGAAGGGAAAGAGGACGGCGCCGCAGGGTGGAGCCGGGGGGGAGGCCGCCTGTGGTGAGCGGCCCCGCTCCCCCGGCGTCCCCTCTCCACCGCTGCATTCCATCGCCCCGCCACAAATCTCGTGGGTGGCGCGTTTGTGATGTAATCGTCCCCCAGATATTACTCAACGCAGAGCGATCGTTCGCATCGCAGTCGGGCAATGTCAGTGACCAGCCGTGCGGTGGTGGCTGCGCACGTGGCCTGTAGTCCAGGACTGTGTGTTTGTGTTTGAGGAGCGGTAGTGGAACGGTTAGCACGAGGAATCCAACGACACAAGTTCGCTTCCCGCTCGCGGCCAACACAGTGACGATTATCTGAACCCGGTCCTGGGCCTCAATTGAGTAGCGAGTGTGATATCTAAAAACGTTACCACGAGTGAGACGGAGGTGGGCGGGCGTGGTGCTGACCACCCACCCCCTCATTTGCCGTTCCGGCCTTCGTAGGTGCTCACTAACAGCACTTACCTCAACAGTCTGTTAAGGCTATACTGGGGATCTTTGTCTTTTGTGTGTGTGTGTGGTGACGTCACCGGCACTGAGTTGGGAATGGCGCTTGTTGTTGTTGATGCGTGTTTGTGTGTTTTTCCGGCCGGCTCAGTGCCGCTCGGAGGGCGCAAGGCCGCCGCGTCCTGGGCGTGCCGCGGCGTCGTGCAGCTGGCGAGCCAAGGGCCGCTCGGCCTGTGGGGCCCGGGCCGACTGCAGCAGGTGCGCCGGGGGAACGCCCCACTGCCCGACATGCACGGGGTTCCATTCTTGAGCTCATTTGATTTGTTGCGCTGACGACGATCGTGTTTGACCGGTGGCACGGCTGTTCTACAAGGGAGTTCGTGGTGCGCGAGCACGGCATGATTGGGGGTGGTGAGGCCGGTTCATAAATAATATATGGGACACTTTTGTAGCCGGTATCAAGATGATGAAAAAAGAATAGGCTTTACCCTTTCTGGCAAGAAAACAGGAGGTGTTAAGATTTTCAAACAACAAATAGGCACCCATCACAAGGCATCAAGTCTGCATTAACCACACATGCTTTGTGGTAAAACATGCAAACAAACGTTTAAGGCTATACATGCAAGTTTTCATGTTTTACCACAAGCACATGTGTGTGTTGAACATCATTACACCTGTATTCTTGCCGGAAAGGGTAAAGCCTGTTATTTTCTTCATCATCGGTTCATAAATATTGAAGTTGATTTCAGGTTTGAATTCCCTACGTATGGACGTGCTCCACCACCACAGTGGCAGCAATGGATCAGAGGTGTTCTTATCCCATTACACCTTAAAATAACACCTCGTAGCCATGACGATAATGACACATAACCGAGGGTAAGAGATAAAGGTGCAGCCCTGCAATTGCATGCTCGCTCGTGCGCCACCCCCAGCACGAGCGACCGCCCCCACTCTCCTCGCTCTTTCCCGACTCCCCTCTCTCCCCTCTCTCCGTGCCACCCGTGTCGTCGTGCGACCAGATCCTGAAGCGACAGTCCGCGTGCTCGGTGGCGCGCTATGGCGTGATGCGGAAGGTCAGCCCGTTTGACCGGCGCGTCACCTGCCTGGCGTGGCACCCGTCGCGGCCCGGCACGCTCGCTGTGGCCTCCAAGGGCGGCGATGTCCTTCTGTGGGACCACCGTGCTCTGGAGCCCCTCTCGCTCCTCCTCGGGGTGCGTTCCGCACGCCCGCGATCCGCCAGCGGAGCGCGGTTCGCCGATGCGCTTCACAGGCGTGTTTGTCATGGCCGGGTGGCTACGCAGCGGTGACGCTCGGCGTGCCTCACGGCAAGGAGAGCCTGGGTTCATTTCCCGACTCGGGGCGCCTTTCTGTGTGGAGTTTGTATGTTCTCCCCTGCTGTGCATGGGCTTCCTCTGGGTTCACCGGTTTCCTCCCACTCGATCCAAATGCTATGAGCCAAACATCCCAATGCTGAAAAGGATCTGCAAATTACTCAATTGGGATAACACGGTGTAGCAGCAGCAACATCGCCCACTCCTGAGAAAATGTGGAAGGACCCCCCCAGAGAGGCTTTGCTGGGTAAACAAGTGCAATACTAATAAAGTAATTATTCAGCCCACGTGGAGGAGATGGGTGCCTTGCTACGGTGCTGTGTGACCAAGGTGCCAAGTATCTGTGCTACGCTCCGAACCCAGCGACCCGAGTTCGATTCCCACTCACGGCCAATACCAGTGGCAATTATCTGAACCGGTCCTGGGGCCTCCCCGAGGTCAACTCAGCTTCAAATAACTACCTGGTGCGGTGTGTAAACATCGCACTGGGGAGACAAAGGCGGTCGGGCATGGTGCTGGCTACCCATTTCCTTGTCTTCATAGGCGCTACACGATAACAGTACTTGCCCCAAAGATCTGCTATGGCTACACGGGGGATCTTTGCGCACGTGCGTGTGTCACACCGCAGAACGGACCAGGAGACGCGGTGGGCGGTATGCTGTTCGACCCGCGCGATGCGGCCCGCGTGTTCGTGGTGTCTGGGGACGGCTTCGCTGCTGCTGCGCGACGTGGAGGGGCGCGCAGGGCCACGGGGCCACGTCGTCGTCAACGCGCCGCAGTGCGTGCACCGGCACCACGACTACAGGTACGACGCCCAACGCGACGGTTGGGGTGTGGCGAGACGCCAGCCCATGCCTCAGTCTTCGCTGTCTACGCGGCGGCGTGTCCTGGCACAGGCACTCAACCCGGGGGGCATCAACTCGGCGCCACCGCACGGCTCTGCGCACACACCTCGCGGTGACGCGTCGTGCCTCGGCAGGGCGCAGCGTCTCGCGCGCACACTGCGCTGGGCTCGCAGTCCACGCCTGCGTCTTGAAATCGTTCATTGTTGCAGTTGGAACTGCCGTAACTCTGAATCTCGTAACGTCCGGAAATGAAATCACTACGATTGGAGAATGATCACCTTGGTGATCTCTTTCTTTATGTATACCCTCGTCTTAGCAGGACTTCACATCAGCATCGTTTCACCCTGTCCTGGCTCTGCGGCTGACGCATTACTCCGACACCTTGGTATAACTGTAATATATAAGATGCACAGTAACCCTCACAGGACACGCCTGGGCACCTTCTGGTAGAGCGAGGTCTCCCACTACGACGGGCGTTGCGCTACTGCCCGACGCGGCGAGTCCTCCATGCGTTGGTTCTTGCTCGTGCGCAGCGCGCTAACGCCGCTGCTGTCCTGCGCCTCTCGCTGCCGCAGCTGCTGGTACTGCAGCGTGGATGTGTCCGTGCCACGTCAGGCCCCTGGCTATCGGAGACAACCTCGGTCACCTGGAGATGTGTGGCCTCGAAGGCACTCCGGTGAGCTCCACATGGTTTTTTTTGGCGCTGTCAATGCAAAGACAAAGTTCTGCCCCCCCTGTAGCCTTAACAGACTGTTGGAGCAAGTGCTAAGGCCGATATGGCACACGAGGGAGTTGGTGGCAAGCACCACGCCCGGCCGTCTTTGTTTCCCGGTGCAGATGTTTACACACCACACCAGGTACTCATGTTCAACCTAGGGGAGGCCCAGGACCGCTGAGAAAATCACGCGCAGCACGCTAACCACTGCGCCACCGCTCGCCACCACCATCTCCCACATCACACGCAGTCCCGCCCGCCCATCTCTCTCGCCATGCGCCTTTGCGCAGCCCCATAGCCCCGTCCGGTAGCCACGTCACAGCTCCAGCAACCCAAGCTTCCTTCCTCCTGGGGTCGGTAAAGATAAGTAGTGAGAAGTGAGAAGTGTACGTGTGAAGTGTGTGAATGGAGTACGATGTTACTCAGCACTTCAGGGGTTCGATATAACTGAGGTGCAATATTCTACTTGTGACTTAATACGGGTGCAGCCCACATGAACGCGTGTCGCGTCTTGGTGTGCAATGTTATACTTTAGGGCGGCAGGGTGGTGGTGCAGTGGTAACACTCGTGCCTCAAATCAAAAAACGCCTGGGTTTTCAATTCCCGACTCGGGCACTTTCTACGTGGAGGGGGTTTACGTTTCCCCCCCTGTTCTGCGTGGGTCTCTTCCGGGATCTCCAGTATCCGCCTTAGTTAAAAATAATGAAGCATTGAAACCGGTATTGGCCAAACATCTCAATGTTGAAAAATGTACCTGCAACTTACTCAATTGGGATTACACACAGCAGCACCAACATGAGCCCGTGCGTGCGTGTACACGTGTGTGTGTGCGTACACAGTAAGATACCGTACAGAATAAGGTACCTCCTTAAGAATAATAATGATCAACGACCATGTAGGTTTAACACGTAGGCTTTTCATATTTTAGGCTTTTGGCAAAGACTTTGCAGGACCTTCCGAGTCTTGAGACTCGGTGCACTGATAATAATAATAATTTGCTTTAAGATTTGGAGGCTGAGAACTCCACAAGAAGAAGGTGACCCACGTGGAGTTCCACCCGCACTGCGAGTGGCTGCTGGCCAGCGCCTCCGTGGACCAGAGCGTGAAGCTGTGGGACCTCCGTGCCATCACGGACGACAAGAGCTGCCTGTACACGCTGCCTCACGACAAGCCCGTCAACTCCGGTGGGCGCACACACTCGCACACTTACACGTGAAGACAAACATTCCCCGTGTAGCCTTAACAGACTGTTGGGGCAAGTACTGTTAGCGAGTAGTACCTATGAAGGCTGGCACGGCACACGAGGGGGTGGGTGGCCAACCACCACGCCCGACCGCCTTTGTCTCCCCAGTGGCGATGTTTACAAGCCGCACCAGGTACTCATTTGAGGCTGAGTCGACCTAGGGGAGAAGGCCCAGGACCGGTTCAGATAATCTTCACTGGTGTTGGCCGTGAGCGGGAATGAACTCGGTTCGTCGGATTGGGGCACACGCTCACGCACGCACCTAGCCTGGCATAAGCACCGTGATAATATCACCGCCACTTGGTGGCACCACGGCAGCAAGATGTTAACTACCTCGACTGGTATGCAGGAGGTTGTGTTTTGATCCCGACCCTGATGCCTGCTGTATATTTGTTCTCCTCGTGGTCACGTGGATTTTTCTCTGGTCCTCCGGTTCTTTCCTCCACATTTAGAATCAACATGCGGGTTGGAGTAATTTGGCTGCGATAAATGTCCACGCACTAAGCCGCTTTGTTGAGCTATCATTTGTGGCCAGGTCGCTTCTGAAAAAGAGCTACATAGCTCAGTGGGCCTTACCTGGTTCAATAAAAGTAGTTTTGAGTTAGTTTAGTTTGGAGTGATTGGTGGTGTAATGCTGCCTCGCGTTGATCTCACCACGTGACGCTGCCGGCCGGGTGCCGCCGCCGCCGTTGGCCTGTGCCGTGCGCAGCGTACTTCAGCCCTGTGGACGGCGCCAGGCTGCTCACCACCGACCAGTACGACCAGATCCGCGTGTACGGCTGCTCTGACTGGAGCACGCCACTGCGCACCATCGTTCACCCTCACCGCCAGTTCCAGCACCTGACGCCGATCAAGGTGAGAGGGGACGGCACGCGCGGCACACACGCGCGGCACACACGCGCGGCACACACGCGCGGCACACACGCGCGGCACACACGCGCGACACACACACGCAGTACACATGCACACTACGCCCGTGGCCCGTGCTCGCAGGCATGGCGGTTGGGTCGCCTTACCTTGGCTAGCCAGGAGATGGCAATACACAAAGTGCATTAATCTCCCATCTGTTTCCATCTACAGTGAGGGAAAAAAGTATTTGATCCCCTGTTGATTTTGTACGTTTGCCCACTGACAAAGAAATGATCAGTCTATAATTTTAATGGTAGGTATATTTGAACAGTGAGAGACAGAATAACAACAACAAAATCCAGAAAAGCGCATGTAAAAAATGTTATAAATTGATTTGCATTTAATGAGGGAAATAAGTATTTGACCCCCTCTCAATTATAAAGATTTCTGGCTCCCAGGTGTCTTTTATACAGTTAACGAGCTGAGATTAGGAGCACACTCTTAAAGGGAGTGGCTCCTAATCTCAGCTTGTTACCTGTATAAAAGACACCTGTTCACAGAAGAAATCAATCAATCAGATTCCAAACTCTCCACCATGGCCAAGACCAAAGAGCTCTCCAAGGATGTCAGGGACAAGATTGTAGACCTACACAAGGCAGGGATTGGCTACAAGACCATCGCAAGCAGCTTGGTGAGAAGGTGATAACAGTTGGTGCGATTATTCGCAAATAGGGCTCCATGCAAATCTCACCTCGTGGAGTTGCACTGATCATGAGAACGGGGAGGAATCAGCCCAGAACTACACGGGAGGATCTTGTCAATGATCTCAAGGCAGCTGGGACCATAGTCACCAAGAAAACAGTTGGTAACACACTACGCCGTGAAGGACTGAAATCCTGCAGCGCCCGCAAGGTCCCCCTGCTCAAGAAAGCACATATACATGCCCGTCTGAAGTTTGACAATGAACATCTGAATGATTCAGAGGACAAACTGGGTGAAAGTATTGTGGTCAGATGAGACAAATGGAGCTCTTTGGCATCACTCATAACTCGCCGTGTTTGGAGGAGGAATGCTGCCTATGACCCCAAGAACACCTCCCCACCGTCAAACATGGAGGTGGAAACTTTTGCCCTTTGGGGGTGTTTTTCTGCTAAGGGGACAGGACAACTTCACCGCATCAAAGGGACGATGGACGGGGCCATGTACCGTCAAATCTTGGGTGAGAACCTCCTTCCCTCAGACAGGGCATTGAAAATGGGTCGTGGATGGGTATTCCCAGCATGACAATGACCCAAAACACACGGCCAAGGCAACAAAGGAGTGGCTCAAGAAGAAGCACATTAAGGTCCTGGAGTGGCCTAGCCAGTCTCCAGACCTTAATCCCATAGAAATCTGTGGAGGGAGCTGAAGGTTCGAGTTGCCAAACGTCAGCCTCAAAACCTTAATGACTTGGAGAAGATCTGCAAAGAGTGGGACAAAATTCCTCCTGAGATGTGTGCACACCTGGTGGCCAACTACAAGAATCGTCTGACCTCTGTGATTGCCAACAAGGGTTTTGCCACCAAGTACTAAGTCATGTTTTGCAGAGGGGTCAAATACTTTTTCCCTCATTAAAATGCAAATCAATTTATAACATTTTTGACATGCGTTTTTCTGGATTTTGTTGTTGTTATTCTGTCTCTCACTGTTCAAATAAACCTACCATTAGATTATAGACTGATCATTTCTTTGTCAGTGGGCAAACGTACAAAATCAGCAGGGGATCAAATACTTTTTCCCTCAATGTATATGGGATAAAGTTGCCCCCTCGCAATGTATGGGTTTTCTCCCTCGCGTATAAACACAAATTGACTGAAAACATCTTAATATGTAGAGGGCGGTAGAGCTTGGGCAGTTGTTGGTAGTGCCAGAACACCACGTGCTCGTCTGTAGCTCCTCCTCCTCACCTCTCCGAGTCGGTGACACGGCACACACGATACCGGAGCGATGGCAAGGCTGCCGGAGCGGTTGCCGGTGTAACGGTATGGTGCGGCGCGGCGTGCAGGCGACGTGGCACCCGAGGTACGACCTGGCCGTGATTGGCCGATACCCGGATCTGGTTCGGCCGGGGACGTCCGTCGAGCAGAGCCGCTCCATCGACCTGTTCGACACCGA